TTGTGAAAGGCGCTGCGCCCTGCGGGCGTCCCTGGGAGCAGCGGAGTCCGGGCCGGAGCCTTTTCCTATTTCTTTCTGTCCCTCCGAGACCTCTTCCCTATTTCTTTCTCTGCTCCTGAGACCTCTTCCCTACTTCTTTTTGTGTCTCTGAGACCTCTTCCATATTTCTTTCTGTCTCTCTGAGACCTCTTCCCTACTTCTTCCTCTCCCTTTCTCCTTCCCATTTCTTGTTCCATTAAATCCATGTTGAGTCAAATCCGTAGATTGTGCTTCCATGGTCTCATTTGCACCTTCACTGTGGCAGAGGCGTGTCTCCCTCATGGGATCCTAACCCATGGGCAGGCTCCCTTCCCATCCCAATCATTCCAGGATTCTCTCAGGGACTCATTTCCATTTGCATAAGTCACTTTGATGAATATTTGATTTTCCCACAAGTCACATGTGATGAAAACAGAAACAAATCCCAAACATTAATAAACCAACAATAGAAGCAATGATGTGGCAATTCCAAGTTTCATCGGTTCCTGCACATCTCCAGCTCAGCTGCTGGCAGGTTCCCATAAAAGAAAAGTGGAAATTCAGGCCAATTCAGATTATTAAACCGAAGGGAAAGCTCTGTGTAGCTGTCACAAAGGTGACAGGAACAAAGAGAATAGTGATTCTCACACTTGGCAAAATCCCCAGGCCTGTGAATTTGGGAGTTATTCAGGAATTTAGCTACTTGAACTGGGCTTCTTGTAGGACTTTTAGCAGCCTTGTGTTCCTCACCGTGGGGTGAATGAACCTTGTCAGTCTTGCTGGTGACATTTGATCCCTTTCCTCCAGTGATTTGAAGAAACTTTTCAAGGAAGGACAACAAAATATTTTCTTTACACTGGCCACCCACAACAGCCATTTTCCATATCAGTTCTCCCATAAATTCTTCAGAGGAAGCTGCATCCAAGTTTCCAAGGGTTCCTCCAGAAAGAAAATGCCACAACGTCCTCAGAGGAGGGAACCATGCTATTGTCAAAGGCACCTGGGGTCACAAAACAATGGCTTAGACTCTTCTCCTGGTTTGCCTTCAAACCAGTACAAAACTCAATGCACTCATCCCTTGTTTTCCTCCCAAAACAGAATTTCCCATCCCAAAACCATCGCCAGATGGAGGAGGAGGCTGCGAGGAAGAGGAAGATGCCCCGGGACCACCAGGTAGGTGAGGACAAAGTCAGTGCCCCTTTCCCCCTCTCTCCTGCTCCATCTCCCAGCCCAGCACAACCCAAGGCTGTAGGACAACCCCATTGCCAACGCCGTCCTGCTGGGGAGACACTGGGGGAATCTCCTTCCCCTTCCCTCTGGCACGGAGGCAAATCCCATCCTCTCCTTGCCCTGCCTTCCCCAGACAAGGAGCTGAGGACGGAGACCAGGGAGGACAAATCCCCACAGCAGAACCTTGTGGAAGAGGCTATTTTGAGCAAGCCCAGTCCAGGATACTCTGAGGACGAAAGACCCACGCTGGGCCAGGAAGGAGGAAAGTGGTTCGGTCAGAGCTCAAAACTTGTGGTCCACGAGAAGATTCATGATGGGGAGAAGCCCTACAAGTGCTTGGAGTGTGGGAAGAGCTTCAGGCAGAGCAGCACCCTGATCAGCCACCAGATGATCCACACTGGGGAATGGGCCTACGAGTGTGGGGAGTGTGGGAAGGGCTTCAGCCGGAGGTCTCACCTCATGAACCACCAACGCATCCACACTGGGGAGAGGCCCTACGAGTGTCCTGAGTGCCAGAAGAGGTTTCACACCAGCTCCAATCTCCTCAGCCATCAGCGCATCCACACTGGAGAGAGGCCCTATGACTGCCCCACATGTGGGAAGAGGTTTCACGCCAGCTCCCATCTCCTTTTGCATGAACGGATTCACACGGATGAGAGGCCCTTTCTCTGTCCCGACTGTGGGAAGGGCTTCAAGCAAAACTCCCACCTCGTCACCCACCGGCGCATCCACACTGGGGAGAGACCCTACGAGTGTCCACAGTGTGGGAAGAGCTTCTCAGACAGCTCTAACTTCACCAGACACCAACGGAGGCACCGGTAAGGGGAGCCCTGTGAGAGGTGTAGCTGCAATGTAAGGGATTTGTGCCCAGTGTAATCATGTTGCTTTTCCCAGTAAATTGTTGTTTTCCCAGCCTGGGATCTTTGCCTTTTGTGCTTTCCATGGGAGGCGGGAGGGCAGCGAGCGGCAGCACGGTTTTAGCGAGAAGAGGAAATTGGGGAATCCCATTCCTAAACCCCGCCCCATGGAAACAGAGCATCCCAGCTGGTCCCAGCCCTGGTGGCCATGGCAGCAGCCTTGGGAGCGGGTCCCTGGCTGGGGCTGTGGGAACCTCTTCCCTCTGGTGCCCAGGGACAGCACTGGAGGGAACTGCTGCAGCTGAGTTGGGGCAGGCTCAGGTTGGATCTCAGGAAAAGATTTTTTCCCCAGAGGCTACTGGGGCCCTGCCCAGGCTCCCCAGGGAAGGCTCCCAGCTCCAGGGCTCTCTGAGCTCCAGCAGCGTTTGGACAGCGCTGCCAGGCCCAGGCTGGCATTGCTGGGGTGTCCTGTGCAGGGCCAGCACTTGGACTCCAGGATCCTGATGAGTCCCTCCCAGCTCAGCCAATTCTGTGGATCTGGGATCCCATGAGCCTGGGGATGGGACTGCCAATGGTTGCCATGGCAACGGGCTCTACCCTCCTTTCACACAAGCACCCCCCAGTCCATCAGGAGAGAGGAGCCTCCCTCCTGCACCATGGGCCTCCCCAGAAAACACAGTAGAACTTCTGTGCTTCCATGTCACACACGGCAGCTGCTCAAAGAGAAATCTGCCATGGTGACCA